TAAGAATCAGGAATTTATGACTCGAATAATACTTTATTATGACTTAAAAAACTTTAATTCCATCTATTTTTCTAGTTCCCCGAAAAATGTGCACGAAAACGATACTAAAACTTACATTTTTTTCGATCAGCTGCGTCTGTTTTACCTACTGAGGATGAACATAACAGTTATATAGTTAGTGTCGCGACATGTGACGTTTAACCAAGTGATATTAAAATACGATTTTTTTATTTGCTATTTGAAATTGAAGGGGACTTCAAAAACATACTGAAATATTGGTTGAAGCTGATTATTTGACTGTTGGTTTTTTCACTGTGTATTTTAAGTACTTAGATTTATGTTTTCCCGGTTAATACTGTAATTGCTGAATATATGGTTGCTTAATAGTTTATTTTACAAAGTATTCCAGCGTATATGTTAGCACTTCTAATAAAACTAGATAAGTGTTTGTATTATCTACAAAAGCTAGAAGAGGTATCCACAATCCACAGATATGTATGTATATATTCTGGTTTACGTATACTTGCATTGTCACTGATATCACTGATATTATCGTAAGCTTATCGATTGTTTGTTCTATTTGCTACTAATACTGAATTTCGGACATATACGTAATGTTGCCAGCATGTGTAACAGCTTGTATATCTTGCCTATCGGAATTTAAGCACCTCTTAACAGATAACATAAGCCTACACAACTCCTTAACATAATATGAGTTTACTTACCTGTCGGTTTATTGATCATCTATACGCATAAACTGTGTGAATTATTCATTGTTACAAATGAGTAGAGCCATTGAATACTTGAGATAATGGGCTTCATTTGTAGATTTTCAGTAAATATTTTAGAGAAAATGGATTTAATTAAATCTATTTCCCAGTTGGTAAGCTTTCTTTTTAGCACAGTTATATGGATGATTAAGGGAAAGTATAAAAACCATCTTTACAGTCACTTGGACAAATTATCGTCAACTCCTCTGCGAGGCCCAGTTTCTAAGATAACCTTCAAAGCCACACAATTTTATTATTGCTCACGACCACTAGTAAATGAATAACAGGTTACGTTTTAATGAACTGACAACATAACGCATTTTATTAGACCATTCAAATAGACTGGAATAAACAATAATTTTAATCGTACGTAATGAATTCATGGGAGACTGCCGTCTCGATTATTCATTAGCTCATTTTTGTGCATAAGTCAAATTTAAATAGTGTCACTAAGATTTTAATGGGAGTCTGTGAATGTAACTAAATACCAAGTAAAAGTTGCTTAGTTTTATTCACTCAACTATTTATATCCTCATCAGATGAAAGAAAGAATTCTTTCTGATCATATTTTGGATTTCCTGACCACTTTGCATGCGATTAACCTCCAGAAGGAGGACTTTAGCTTGTTATTTTCTGTTTAAGACAATAAAACGTACACACACTTGGTCTATTTTTTCTTGTACTTGCTTCTTTGATCACTTTCAAGTCGTAATATGTGGAAAGTTGTTTAATCTCCTTACCGTAGAAATAAACGTATGTTCTTATCACAAAAGAATAGACTAAATATCCGGGTAACTTTGTAGGGTAGGTCATCACGATGTTTCAGCCTTCACTGAAATACTTATCGTAAAGTAGACTAAACTAATTCGTGTATTTTATCACATACTTGTTAGAAAAGAAGACTAAATTAGGAAAGATATACAAGTGGCATCAATAAAGAGGGGACATGTTGACTATAGTTTTCGTATTCGCCAATCAATGCAGCTAGAGATAGCGGACAAAAAGTAAGAAAAATTGGAGCGGTCACTTAAATTATCTCCATCAAGTCAAAAACTAATATGTTTTGCATTGATAAAGATGTCTCAGGAGTAAAGAACAAGTGCGAATGATAAGATAAAGAATGAGGATATTGATGCGGCAGTTCTCAAATTTGTATGAAGCCTTTGTCCTAGAAACGACATGTTGAGGAATTGCTTACTGTGGATAAACAAATACTTCTTGAACAACACTTTTACTATGATTACAACGAACAATATTCGTTATCATCAACCCAAATTTGATTCTTTGTGTTCACATGATTATTCTTATGCTTTTGTCCTTTTTCAGTAATGCTACTACCTTGTTAAAGTTGTTACAATTGTATAGGTTACAGATCTGTTACCGCTTTATAGCGAACTAAATAAAAATAATAGTATCATTCTCTCAGGATTTACACGATTTCACAGCAGTAAAGATTTCAAAAAATGCAATACATACCAATTTATTTTAATTGTTTTTTCATTACCTTCATATTTCTAATCATTATTTTGAAACGAACACTAAACAACTGGTTACCCTGCAAAGCTCAGCAGATCGAAACGAAAGAAAGAAAAGAAAACACCTAAATAACAGTGTCGAAATAAATAAATCACACTACAACGTCCAAATTCTAGTTACGTGTAATGTGATATTCAGGGTGGGTGTTACTACGAATCACATTTTTGAATGTTGAACAGTAAAGCTTAAGATAATAAAAAATGAACAACCAATGATTACATTTGTTTTTAACTATTGTAATTTAACAGGAATTAAAATTACCGAGAGAATGCAAGGGCTGAAAGTACAAACCAACCATTTTCCCACAAATTAAAGCATTACTGCCCGAACAATAGAAAGCCTTACAAAAGCTTTTATTAACACCGCTAATTAAAACAGTTGTAGTAAAAATGAACTGTGTTATGTGTATTTGATTACTATTTTCTTAAATTGGTCATGTAAAAATTTCTTCTCTATTCATTACATTAAAATGCCAATAGTCCTTCTATGACACTTCAGTGTTTACCTTGTTTGACAGCTGTATAGCTCTTATGGGAATTCTTCACATTTCTGTCTAAATGTTACCTAGTCTTTTACTATTTTACTCGATTAACCAGAATGGGAAACGACGAGTTGGGTATCAGAAGGTGGCATGGTATAGACCGTGCAAGCAGGAGACGAGAGCTTATGCGCAATCGTGGAGCAGAAAACAGTGTGAAATGGAGATGTGCTGTTTCACCCAGAACCCAAGAGAATAATAAATATTCTTACCGTTTAAAGTTAGATGAGGACTAACAAAATCTGAAGAGTGAAAATATGCGACCATGTTGAAATCTGCTTCAGAGGAATCTGTGAATAATTTTTTCTACACAGAATATCGAGATTTTTTAGGAACTCTAACACTGTTTCACTGTCAACTGTGTTTTTTTAATTTGACCTTCATATATATCAGTCTGAAACTTTCGTCTCATACACTTGATTACATTGATAAATTTCGATAGAGAAACAAAGACCGAATTCGCAGTACAAAATGGTACCATTCTATTTCAAAGCTAGTGAGAACTTGTGAAATAAAATGATATCACATATAATACTTCAAATCTGGTCCTTCATACTTTCGTAATCGAAACTCCTTTTATTCCTCAACAAGGTAATAGCTTCATTTCCAATTCATCCTCTGGATATATTGTATAATAATTAAAATAATAAGATTTTATTTCAAACACTATGTGGACATAGAACAGAAATTTTCAGCTTTCCAAAATATTTCGTCTGTGAATAGGATATGCATACAAAGTAATAACTTGAAGTATTTCATGTGGCGTAGTTTTGTTGCATATGAAGAGAGAACCTATTCCCTACGATTTCCCTTCATTTCTTTCAAGAATTGCATAGCGTTTCGTTGAAAACTAATTAAATATCTGTCTGAGTTCAAGTACTGTCACCTAATATAAATAACTGTATGATTAAAACAATAAGAAATACTGAAGAGTTTAGGCATTTTTGTGGGTGGAAACTCTGATAACCCACAGCAATTTAAGCAGGCTGCCGTTATAAGACATTTAATGCTGAATCTACTTTCCAAGGTGCAGTCGTTTGTAGGCTTGAGGTTATTTATTTCTTAAGAATTGCTAGAAGATGTTTACCACTGGTAGGGATTCAATGACACTTAGTGACTTTGTTCTGCTCGGGAATTTGTGACGAGATTCTTTGCAGTACCTCAGTCTTAGTTGATTTCAAACAATTATCTACTACTGTACTTAGTGAATACCGATGGATCAACTGCCTAATTAATAGATATATCGTATTTCCGCAGGCTGAACCACAAAACTGATTACTATAGCTCAAATTCCTTTTCAGAACTTCCGTTAGAATGGGAAGAAAAGTTTCTTCATGGTTTTATTATGGAAGAAAAAAATCCACATGTATTCACAGTATATATATATGTATAGTTTGCATGCATATCATTGTGATATGCACAGTATTCTACTGGTCTTCAAAAAGCTTAGATATCACGACACATTGCAAACTACTGAACTTTGGGGAATAATGGCTAAATGTTATAGTTCTTTGGGAAACTTCACCAGTTTTGTGTTAGGTGACATGCATTACTCTTAGGTTTTAAGACCATCATGTAATCTTATAGGCATCCGCAGAAAACTTAATAAACAGCATGTGGTATTCTACTCAAATTTTTCTTGAAACTTTCCATCTTCCTCCCGTTTCTGTAAGCCAGCCACCGCTTATATTAGAGGGCATGCATCTTAGTTTATTGATAACTGATCAGTAGCAACTAAAAAGCACCAATGTTGTTTAGCCTAATTTTTAAATATTTTATTTCTACGAAGAATAACTTAACTAAAGTGTAAACACTGAGATTTTGACTCGAGACACTGTTTAAATTATCCAATGATTCACAATTTCCCACTTTAGTATGATTGTTACTTTCGCTCTCTTAATTTTCACTGATTTCTCAACTGATATTTTATAGTACTGAAAATTACAGTCAGATCAGCCAACTCATAGAAACTATTGATTTGAATAATTGTTTTATTTTGAAAACAAAGATGTCATTGTTGAATTCTTCTGTATAAGTCATATGATGTGTGTAGGTAGTCAGATGTTGAGAAAATTGTGTCTACATCTCTTGGAAAGTTTATTTATCACTTTGATTAACAATTAAATTTATTTCTTTTGTATTTCTGTTACTTTTAGGAATTAAATAAGGAAGGAAGTATTATTTCAACTCAAGAAGAATCATAACTTTATATGCTTCAGTCAAGTAGTCTGGAAGTGTTCAACTCCTCATCACTATCAGCCGCCAAAAGCAGATCAGCTGAAGGGGATAAAATTCACACTTATGCTACAGAAAAAGATTCTACTTTATTGGATCAACTAGTTACTAGTAGCATTACTAGTAGTGGATACTGGGAGGATTGTGATTCACTTGTTACCAGTGAATATGATATATTTGGAGTGAATTGGGTAAGTGATATTCTGTTAAAGACAAATAATAATAGTAAGTATATTCCTTTCGTCTGTCGTATAAACCGTACGTAAGATTTTTTAAAAATTATGAGTATATATTACAGAATAGTTAAATTAGGTAGATTTGAAAGGTTCCTAACATGCAAAAAGTGAAAATGAGTCTTGGTTTCACCTTGTGATTCTATTTTGTGAAATAAATTCTTTAAACAGTTCAGTCTGAGTATTAACCAAAAAGGTTTAAGGGTATTTTTCATGCCTTCATACTTGGTTCATCTCGTTCTGGAATTCATGAGTATTAAAAGGAGCTTAAGGGAAAAGTCTTCATATGAAGCATTTTTTGTCTAATATTTAGGCTAATTCTCACCACAATGAACGAATAAAAAGTTTGAAAACAAAACACAGATCGTTAACGGAGGGTGGAATTCCGTTATCTTTGGTCAGAACTCAAAGTTTTCATTCAAGACAGGCAGATGCTACCGGAAGAACATCACCCTTTGGTGATGATTTCACTGCTGAACTTCATCTAAGTTCAAATGTCAATACTGGCTGTAATGAATCACAACATTCAAATGTATCTCACAACAGTAATTCTGACAGTATTCGATTTTCATTAGAAGATAATGATGGTACAGATTTACAAAAGAATTCGCTAGTGAGTATATTTCATTTCTTAACGTAATATATTGTTTATTTTCTATAACTTCACTTCTACATTGTGACTACTGATCGATTTTTGAGTTGTCTTATATTGAACAACTTATCTACTTGCTAACGAGTAGGCAGTACACGAACTCTGTGCATAATTAATGATGAGTCAGAAAATAATTAACATAAATAACATGAAGTTATTCACTATCATACCCAGCATTTCAGATGCTTTTTCATATTTTCATGAAATATCTTCAGTAAGTTTGGTATTAATTTTAGAGATAAATGTCATGCTCTGAATATTAACCAGGTTAAAAACAACCTTGTTTCATAAGTATTTATTATTCCCATATATGTGTTCCTTTCATTACCAAATTAGCAGATCGATTGATCTGCATATCCGATTAATATATGCGGCTACAGAAATTATGAAGCAAACAAAATTATCGGAAATTGAAACCCGTACTTGATAAAACGAAACGTTTAAGTTGGAAAATAGAAACTCAGTTAGTAACTTTTACTGCAGTGACAATAAACCAGGTAGTTTCGATAGCATCAAATATGCACTTTACAAATTATACAGTTCGAGGTGAGATTTCACCACTGTTTCCTTCGAAAACCGAAATAATTCACATCAGAATATGTGATTAGCTCCACACCATAACCGGCAATCAGGAAGGCAAGCATAAATGTACGGTGGTATAGACTACTGATCGACTGATATAAGTAGTTGAATACCAATCCCATCAACCACTAGGGCTTGCTATTCAGGTTGAGCTGATCTAAACACCGAACGGTTGTCTCGCTCGTTTGGGGCTGAATTCATCTCAGGTGTGTCTAGTTTGACTCATTTCAGATAGACGAATCAGTTCAAACTGCCCGAAAGTAATTAATGTATGTAGTTTTCGATTCTACTTCCCGATTCTTCTAACCTCCAACATTTAATCCAGTATTTTGCGTTACTCTATCGTTTAAAATGGTTCATTCACTGGCGTTTTAGCAGGAACTATCACCAACACATTTCGAAACATAAAACGTAGTTGTGCAAATATCCATCTTATTAAAGTGTCTGTGGCATAGAATATCATGAGCTTAACTGGTATTTGCTGTAACTGACCACGTATTGTGGTTATGGTAAATGCAACCGTACAACTAATTTGTAGGCATTGTTCATTTTCAAGAATTTCATTGGAAATATGGTTTGAGTAACTTTGTCTGAAGCCATTGATACATATTCATTCTTTCATTCAAGTGTCTCCAACTGTCCACCTTGTAATTATTTGTTTTCAGTTCATGTTTCTTGTTGCCACCAGGACAGAATATATTTACGTATTGTGCTCCAGTTGTGGAATCTAAGATATTCGTTTTGTAGTGTCTGGTCAGATGAATACATCTGCATTCCATGCAGCAATGGTGTTCCCGTTTAGATTCAAATTCGACACCCATTTTGTGGAACTATAAACACTCTTTTTTTAGGTCAACGAATAAGAAAATGCTCATTTTGATATTTCAGAAATTTTAAAGATAGCAAAAGGTTTCCAATACCTTATTGATTGCAAAACAAATACGTATCATTAGTTTTGTAAACTAAATTCTGTAAAAATTATCTTCCATAGTTCCCAACAAAAAATTTTTTTAAACATTCACGAAAAATAAGCAGATGGCGACCTTCTACAACCACTCATTAATGGGCGATAAGGACTTACTATGTCATGTGACATACTACTTCGTTTAAACGTGAAAGACTCGTTAAGCTTGTAAGATTTTATGATACCTTGTGAAGACGAATAGTGTGTGTAAAATGTAGATATTATGGCGCATGACATGTGATTAATATACCTAGAATTTGTCGAACATATATGTAGCTATAATTAAGTGTTCATCTTACAATATTTTTTCCTAATCAAGTGTAATCATGTTTTTTATAATCTAGGTTTTCGTTGAACTACTGATAGTAATTTTCAGTAATATACAACATAAATATAATAGTGTGTGGTTTCTTTGCGTATAACCTTATATAGAGCTAATAAAAATAAACCAGTGAGGATTAAAAATAATGCTTTAAAAGAGTGTAATATCTGCAGAACTGTTATACTTATTCGTTCGTAAAATAAGTAAATCCGACAATGAATTCGATGAACCTGAATAATAAAACAAAAAACTAAGATTTATCACATTACGGTAATCTCAGGAATAAGGAGAGAAACAAGATACTGCTTGAAATGATTTTTATCACAGATACTTAAGCAGCAGGTAGTGTATACTAAACCAGACAAATTTAGTCAAAGTGACTAAGTAGATTAGTTAAGCTACCATTAAGCGCTACGCCTTAAGTAATAATTATCAAACTGAACCATCCACTTAATTCTGTCAGTTGAGTTAAGGACGTTGGGCAAATAATTAGCTGTTACTGAAAATATATAATGCAGCTCTATTAGATGTCATTCGGAATATCTGATGTGTAGTTTGTTCTTGTAGCTTACTCTTTAAATTGTGAAGCCTGTAATTTAGTCGGCGTTAGTTTGAATCATGTAGTGATTTGAGTTCTTCTTTCAAATTCGGTCATAACCTAGACAGATTAAAGTCAAGTGTTAAAAATAAGGTCATCTAAATGCCTCAAAAATTATTCCCTGTTCGATAAAAGGTCAACGAAATCTCGTCTTTATGATGTCAGTTTCAATCAGTTTCAGTTGATGTGGAACGTTTCCACAAATTATTGCACATTTGTTATGGAATTAGACTGCAAATAGAGAGAATTAGTGGAGGTACTTGAATAAACTATTGTATGTCAGTTTCATGCTTACTCTCTTAAGACTGTTTATATCATATATTTTGTATTGTTAATCATTTTATTGTGAGTAGAAGTTACTGTAGCACTTTGATTGATTTTGTGGAGTAGGTTCGCTGGCCCCACGCCCAACCCTTCCTCTTTACCATCGTTTGGGACCGGCTAGAAAACTAACGAGCTAGTGAACTAGACGAGTTTCTTAAGACTGTTTGACATGGTGAAGTGAAATGTGTACCTGGTTCATATATTAACTCAAGACGCATTGCACAATAACGGGTAAATGTGAAGAAAAGTTTTATTCGGCCGTTGGATATTACCAATATCACAGGTATAACTGTAAAGTCACAAATGGAGTTTCATAGCACGAAGCTTTTTCTATTTTAGAAAAAAATTTTTTTTTTATAAGATCAAATTCAGTTTCACATGTTATGCGTAACTAGTTTGCTGTCCAGATATCAGCGCACAAGGCCACATTGTGCGTATTATGTAAACAACAGTTGTTCCGTAGAGAAATTGTGTGCAAACTGTGACTAGGTCTGACAATTTTGGTAATTATACTTACCCACACACAACAGTTTTTTTTATCAATTTATTCACATTCACTAGACTAAGAAAAGCTTATGTTGTGTTTAGAATACATCTATAGGATACTTGCATAGACAACACGGTTTTGCTGACTACATAGCCTTTATATTATGCCACACAGTTTCAGTTTTTGTCTGAGAAAAGTCACAATAGTTTTGTTTTCATTCCAAAATGTAGGCTTAGTTTGAATTAAGGTAAATATTTATGGAGTTGCTAAAACTAACATTTCTTTTATTTATTTGTTTATTTATTATTGTGTAAGTTGTTTACTTGCTTGGTTGTTTACAAAAAGTAAAAAGAAAGTGTAAAAGTTAGGAGTTTATTTCTGTTATAGAATTTAAGAGTCATTATGACGTCACAGTTGCTTAGCCGATAAAGTATCGCTACTTGGTGCAGTACAACTACTGCACTGGACATTCACAGATTCTGTGCATACTCTATGCGGCACTATCGCCTCAAGGTCAGAATAAACACAAGTTGCTCTTTAATTACCGCGTTGATTTCAATTTGTTTGTTGAAATCACATAACTCGATTTTATTTTAATAAAACCTCCTAATATGATTACGCTAAACCATTGTAAGTCATCCTACTATTATATTCCAATCTGTAATTAACTGAATCACCTCAGTGTCGTTCTGAGGTGTTTAAGCTTCAGCAAAAATACTCATTGACACAAGATATTCACTTCATACTAGTGAAGATATAATAGTTCACCTGACGTGAATTTCGTATAAACATATCTTTGAAGATAGTTTTCCGTGTTTCTTCCTCAGATTCCATTGAGGAAAATTTTACCAAGAATACGTATTAAATCGTTTAGTACCCAAGGCAGTCATGCTTGAAGTAGGTTGGTTAAGATATATACGTATATAAATAAGCAATACCTAATTGAATCAGTTACACCAAGTGCATGGCTTCAAACTACTATACACATAACTTGTGACTTAACTTAGTCATTCTACGGCACTTGGGTTTTGCCAAGTAAAACCACTAGGTGGTAGCGATTACAGAATCGCTAAGAACCAAGATGTAGTCGAGAGCTGTTTCTTTCCAGTTTGTAGACCCAGGTCCTTCAGGTTACGAGGCCAGCCCACCGACCACTCAGCCACTTAGAAGCAATCCACTGTTCTATGAATTCCGGCTTCTCTCAATTCTCAATGTATGGTGCAACTGTCAGCAATTATAATCACTGAGTGTTTGTTGTCACACCCACCATGGTGGATCCCATTGGTCACGACTTGTCACTTGCATTCCAGACAACTTTATCCTGTAGACAGTAATTAGTGAGCATCAGAATGATTTCCAAGTTTTAGTTTAAAGTAATTTGAACATTTTCAAGTATGATCGGCGTTTCGCCATTTTTTTATGTTCTACATCACAAAGAGACAGTGACAAAATATTGAAATGATTAAATTACTTCACTATTATCCAAAGGTTTGCAGGAATACCGGATTTACGGATGAGTTATTTCGCATTCAAAACAATTCAGCTTGGTGGTACTACATACATAAATAATATTCAGCATTTAAAACTATCTCGCCCGTGACCATAATATGCTAAAATGAAGTGTAGTGTATTGGTGTATCTGAAACATAAAGGGAGGAATATGACTATTTAGACTTAAATAACCTGTTTCCGAATACTTCCAGTAGTCTTGAGTATTCTTAATTCCATGTTGCAAAAGTTAGAAAAAGCTGAATTCACTGCGTTCATCATTTACGTGTCTTTAAATCATGTCTAGTCCTGTTGCTGAGCTTTTCCGTTGTGTAACAAACTGAAGTCATCAGTTTAAGTCATTTTATAGTTCTACTTAAATAACTAAACTACATTGCTGAATATTACCATGTTATAACACATTCAGATGTTTCCTTACAGTTATTCACCAAAGTAAAGTTAAAGAAACAATGGGAATCAAACCAGAGATGGAAATTAATTTTCCTTGAAGCAGATGTACAAGTGTTTTCTGTCCTATGTGGAGATAAAATATTTTTACCAAATTCATTTATCAGATGCTTGTTTTTGTCTCACTGTAACTGAGAACCGTTTCGTGAAAAAAGTACAAGAGGCCAGTAAGAAAAAATGTACTTTATTGTATTTTGATACCACTCAAGTATACACCTGATAGATTTCTGTTTTTAAATCTTACCTAGTGAGTAAGGAATAACAAGTAACCACCCTTATCTGAAGACTTGTTCAAATGACATTGTAATGGGAGCCTTTTATTGGAAACAAAGTTGTTTGTAGTTAGTACAAAAATGATTTCGTCCACTAAACCAAAGGTAATTCTGTATTCACAAACGATTCGCAGTTAGAATGATTAATAACTACAACTTCTTATCTCGTGTTTGATTTCTATAGGACGAATTTGATTCAATCACATCAGATTTACTATTGTGCAATAAGAGTTATCCTTCTGCTCAAAATATTCACCCAGTCCCCAGAGTGTATGATGAAACACGAGACACAAGAAGAAAAATCTACACCCATTTTGATGAATGGGACGACAGTGAAGAGGAGGAAGTTTTTGAAAGAAAGGAACCTAGGACGAAATTTGAGGCTGCTCTACGAAGAGCTGAGGAGGAAAGTAAAAGGCGACAGGTAAATTTATTTTTTGTTTACTTACTTTGAGGTTGTGCATCTTAAACTGCTACTGAACTAGTTGAGCCTAATGTCCAAGAAGCACTTACTTATAATTATGTCAAGTGTAAGGAATCTTTAAATGATAAGTTTTCGTAAAATGTTTGCGGTAAACTTTGCTTACTAATAAGTAGTATAAATAAAATTTGTTATATTTAACGGTCTTAGAGATTAACTTATCATAGGTAAATTCATAATGAATGTTTGTACAAAGTAATAAGTTTTTGATTGATCTTAGTGTGATCGTAATGAAAGCTTGCTATTTTGGGAAAGCATTAACTGCAAATACTTCAGGCATATGTTGAACATATGTAACACTATGGCTAATATCACTTGTTTAGCATGAAACTGAAAAGAGTCTTTATTCAAACTTACATTTCCTCGAGTCTAAGTGAGTTCTTCTTCGCCTGAAATTAAAGATTGACTACATTTAAATGAAATTACCTGATGAATTCATGATAAGTGAATGCATAATACACCTTCAAGTGCTATTCACCACGAGCAAACGCCTTATATTGGTGACTTGAGGTCTACTGTCAAAATTCAATATTTAGAGAGAAAACTTTAGCGATTTTTGTATGAACTTAAACAGTTTTTACTTAGTCCATCGCTGAATAACATTGACAATGAAAATTCTCTTTCGAGCAACAGTAGTATATGAAGCTAGAATAACATGCAAAATAATCTAAAGATGGCTATAAAATTTTGAATAGAAAATAAGAATATTGTTAATGAGACCATCTGATATTGTCTTGAAATGGAAAATCGATGGTTATTAATAAATAATGACTGAAAGCGAGATGAATGCTCAGGTCAACTTGAGAAACAAACGAGTAGCTGCCGCATTTTAGTTCCAGTTACTGTTCACCATATAAACATTCGTTTTCTAATACAAAGCTATCTCTTTCAGGCTCACTAAAAACTGATCAGTTACGTCTTTTCTTTAACTGAATATGTTCAGAAATACGATAGAGAGGCCTAGTTAAGCAGCTATCGTGATTCTGCTAAATGGAAAAATATGTGTCACTCATTCATATGCCAACCAGGGGAAATGTTCGGCAGTTAAACTAAAACTAAAACCTAATTAACAGTTAGATTTAGCTGATCGGTCCATAGAGCACTGAGCGGGTTGACATTTTTCTAGGATCTAGTTTTTAATTCACCTTCAGCTATCACTCATTAGAGAAATAGAAGTTTTTAAAAGCCGATACTCAAACAATGAAGCAATGACTGAGAAAGTCTTTAGAAGATTAAGAACGCACCAGTCAGGAAAGGTTTTGAATCAGTGCTATATCCTATGCCTGTATCTGCCCAGTCAAATATTAGCGTTTGGTCCCATTAAACTAAACGTATTTAGTGCAAAAACTTATGTCCATTTGTCGCATGCACAGTGCTAAAACAGTACGGAAAAGGATACATTAAAACCGTTTTGATTGCATTATAAATCAAAGAGGTCTGATTGTCCTAGTGAAATAAATGCCTAACATTTAATTCATACAGGACGCCTAATAAATAAGGTACTTCAAACTGATCAGAAAGCGAAACAGGTTGCATTTCATTCGATTTCTTGTGATTATTTTAATCAGGTGAATTAATACCGACATCTGTATTCAACCGTAGACAGTTTACATCATCTCCTGGGGACTTTTCTTCTGCTACACCTTCTCAAAAATATTTTATCCAGAATAGACGTTAATTTCAAAAATTCCAGTTGTTGTGATTTTGTATTCAGTTGTATTTCAACTACTAACTCATTCATTCACTAAATTACACAATTTCTTGTTTAAACTTTGTCTTTTTCTTTCACTAGAAGGATTTCTTTGCATGTAGCGCCTTATGATAATTCATCAATTTAACTACGTCATTATGTCTTATCACGCCTACTGTCTTCTTCCTCTTCATTGAAATAGTGAATATCACGCTTTTACCATAATACAAAATTAACGCAAGGTAGATAAAATAAAACGAATTTTAAGAGTAAACTTTTTCTTAATTTTACTGCATTTCTTGGGCATTCTACTGATGTTTTTATTCATTCATATACCAACTCTTATGATATTCTGCCATACGAAATGTTTCATATGTTATATCTTGTCACAAAGTACTTAAAAACTATGAAATCCACTTCTTTTCCATTTTCAGGCATTGCTGGCAGAGAAAGATTATACGATAGCAGGCAAATTAATGCCTGACTGGGGTTCACCTATTCAAATCAGAAATAATGCCAATATGGATAGACTTAATCAGTGTTCTGTTGCGTCAGATATGGTGAGTTTTATGTCACCTTTGTTTATGTATGAGACGAAACGTTTAGGCAATATTTTTTGAGTTTTGCAGTGATTCTATGACGGGATTATCATTTTAGCTTATGAGACAAAACTGACTAACTGAGATTACGACGAAAACCCTCTCAAAAAATTGCATCAGTTCAAGTCGCTACACTCCATATACTACAAAAAGGTGGAAGAAATTCACAGGGGAAATAATAAGTACATGGTGAATAATGAGAATTTGATGGATCAAGGATTTCGTAAAGAGAGAATGCATATACGCCACTGATAACATTTCTAAATCATGTCAGCAACGGTCTTCAGTCATTGGTTCTTAGTGTTTCAAGAATTCCAATCTTACGTGTCTCACATCAACAGTCAAAGACTTAATGGGATATATGTGTAGGGAGGAGAGTCAGTACAGATGTTCCACAAGGAGCGGTAGTCTTATACGGACAGCATATAGTTCAGTGATGTACCTGAGTGCATCGTTGATTTATTGATGGATGTCGCCACGTTAGGCAATGTCTTACCTTATTCCTTATTTACTTCAGATGGTTGTCTGAAGAGAATCATCGGTCCGCATCAATATACTTTTTTGAGTGGCATAGCTTCCCGATTTGAGCATTGAAATAACTTGCCAAAATGAATGTACATCAGCACTTTTGGTTTAGCAGTAAACTAGACAACGTTTTGTGGGACTCATTCTTTGCTTCATCCGAACAGTAGTTAGTGTAAGCGGAGATTATGAAAGGTATCGACAGTTATATATTATTATTATTGTTCCCTTGGGTTCCTAGTGGAACATAGGGCTTCAGCTGCACGTCTCCATTTGCTTCTGTCTTGTGCTGTACTTTTCACTTGCATCCATGTTAATCCATACTGTTTCAGTTCCTCTTCACACGATCTCCTCCATGTCACCCTTGGACGTCCCACTCGTCGCTTCCCTTTCGGGTTCCACTCGAGCTATAGCCTGACGCGCGATATCACCCAGCGGCCTCCTCAGCGAGTGTCCAATCCATCTCCACTTTCTCCTGCATATTTGTTGAGCGATTGGTTCCTGATTTGTTTGTTCCCATAGTTTCTTGTTTGTGATTCTTTCCGGCCACCTAATCTTCAGTATGGAACGAAGACAGTTGTTGATAAAGGTCTGCAACCTGTTGAAAATATTCTTTGTGACTCGCCACGTTTCTTATCCGTATAGCAAAACTAGCTTGACGTTTGTATTGAAAATCCGAATTTTGTTGTTGATGCTGAGGTGAGTGACGAAGATTTCCAGATTGGTTTTAAGTTGGTGAATGTGTTTCTCGCCTTCCCGATTCTCGATTTGACATCCTCGTCCGTTCCTCCTGTAGTTGAGACAATGCTCCCTAGATAAGTGAAAGAAGTAACCTCTTTCAAATCCCTCCCGTTGATGGTGATTGGCGCTGGATGTTGCTGCTTCTGTTGTTGTTGTTGGTTGGTTGGTTGGTTATTTTCATAACCTCCGTCTTGTCTATGTTCACCTGTAGTCCTGTCTTTGCTGCTTTTTTGACCAGTTTGTCGGTTTTCGCTGGTAAGTCTTCGATTTTGTGTGACATCAAATATAAATCATCCGCAAAGTCCATGTCTTCTAGGTTCTTCACGTCGGTCCAACAGTCGGTCGACAGTTACCACAACCTTTTTTTCCTAGGGATTCTTTTAGGTGAGAATAACCGAACGTGGGTCGTGTATGCGTGTCTCCAAAACACAACATGCATCTATAGCTCGACATGCAATTAGATTTTACTAGTGAGGCCTGTTATCTGATTTGACAAACTGTCTGGACGTTGAATGCTCGAATGTGGAGTTAACGGAGTGGTTTCAAGAGATTGTTGGTAGTTTTTTCTGCTCTAGTTGCTATCAATGGTTTCTAAGTTAAGCTTATGTAAAAAACTTATATGTATAATAGTATTAAAAGTGGTGGGAAAGTAAGGATATGAAGGTAGACGATAACTAGGAGAGGTTTATGTGTTTATGAAAGTGTGTGGGCCGTTATTATTTGCTGGCTGCCCGCGATTCGGAGGTCTATTTCCTTTTGAACTACATGAAAAACGCAGACGGCATTAGTGTTGTGTGACCACAGAGCTCAGAGCACAACTACTTGTGATCAGTCAGATATGACCAAATCTCCATAAGACAATAGTTAAGCTTGCAAAAAACATATAAAATGTGTGATGTCTACATGTACACATATTTAAGTGATACAGGTAGAATTAAGCGGTCGCGGAAAAAATATAATAAAGCATTTTGGGTGAATCTGGTTGTCAGATTGTTGAAGGTGATCATCACCATTAATACTTTACACTAAGAAAAGGAAATACAGGAGGACTAAAGTAATTATATCTGTATACACTCGAATACACTAAGAATTTTTTGAGTTTGAAACAGTATTCTCATGTGCAAAGGCTTTCATGTTCAGCATATCAGAAGAACAATAACATAACTATCTCACTTTATGTTTATTGTCACAGAGCAATTGTATAGTACTTTTGCAGCTTTCTCTTCGTAACAGTTATCTGCACTACAGATTAAGAGAACACCTATACTGTTGATGTAAACAATTCAGTGATTTGGTTCCTTTAAAATCTTGTAGTGCCAAGTCACTTTAGTGTGAACAGATCGACGACCCAAAGAGGTTAAGAATGAGCCAGTAGAATGTGGTCAACTAATCTATTATTCTTGTAAATTTGATCTCTGGACATTCACTTGGATGGTGTCGCAGTTTAATACACCTAAGTTATTGTGCGATTTGCATACAATGCCTAGCCATGTATTCTTTCAATGCCTTTTAACAGCATTCTGTCATTTGTGTTATGACGCATTTTAGAATATTTACTCTGCATAGGATTTTGTTTTCAACCATATGCGATAAGTAAACGCTGACCATAAAATTCTCTTTTATGGAAATAATTAATGCAATCAATGTTCACTATTGTATTTTCCATCATTTACTGGAGACAAATAGGACCCTAGGCAACAGTATTCCTAAATGTTATCCATTATTACAATTTTTGGAGTTGAAACAGCTAAACAGAATTTTCTTATGACAATGAACGTTATTAAACAGTTGAAAACTCATTTATGCCAGTAAAATATGTAACAAATAAAATCATTATTGTTAATAGATTTAACAAAGATAGACTACGACTAAAAAGAATATCCCAATATGTGTTATTTATTATTCTGTGGAAAGCTTCTTAATTATTGCACGTATTAAAAGTAGTTCAGTGTAGAAATTATTCGGTTAGTTTTACTCTGTTCTAACTACTGCGAATACTAAAATGGAAGATAACACTAATTAGACAATATTAAATACAGTTTAACTTTTAAAATTAGTTAAAGGAATCGTAAAACGTTGGACATGTAATTTGTAAATTAAATTTATGGGTTTAGTTGAATTTAGCGTTAAATGAGTGACGAAACGCCATCACCAAATATAAATCTACTAACCCCAATCTCTAGTAGTTCCAAATAAATTAATTGAAGATCGCTAAGAGAGACTGTTTCAGGTATGGATTCGTCAGCTTGATTATAGGGATCATCGTATACCCGAAACGGATCGAACTCTATTGAATTTGCTTACTAATTTCAGTGATACACGTGTATCCCATTCTATCAACAGTTGTCGATTTCTACATTGTGATAGATTATAGTGGTAGGATTTCCAGTTTTTCTTGCTTTATAACTCTCTCAGGTTGCTAGCCAAAATTATATAGAAACTAGTATAATAATTAAGGGTTGAAAACATTTGGTCAGTCAACATGAATAATACTAAATGCAATAACACTTTTCAGCTCAGAAGAAAATCTCCTAAAAATACACACGAAGAAGAATATGCTGAAATGATTTCGTGTCCTAGTGACATTTGAAATGATATGTACAATTATGTTGGAAACTATGGTAACAAAATTCCCGGCTTATTGAGGAATAAAATAACCAATACATAATTAGTTTCATTTAAAAATTAATGTCGTTGTATGTACAAATATGATTAGTTAATTCATGAAAGTGTGACAGTTTCAGAAACACTTCATTCTGTTCCCTTCCATATATCTGAACTAAATCTCTTGTATCTGATTTACGTCACCCTTGTTTTTAGGCCTGGCAACAGTTTTTCGTATATTTCTATTGTTTGAGAAGCTCTTTATTTAAATGATGCTTTTCAGGAGAAGTGAAATTAATTATTTCATTCGTTAGATTGTTGAATGAATTAACATTCAAAACATTTTAGAAGTTTACTTTAAATAAGTGGGTAAAAGAGTGTTAAAAATGCGAGAATTATTTCAAGAAGTTTACTCTCCAGTATGCTAAATGCTAGGGGATATTGGTAGGTTTTCAACTGCTTGAATTCAGTTGTTGTATTCTGTTTTTTTTATGGTAAGGAATCCAAAGATAGAAAAACAGGATTAAAGTTGTAGATGAAATCAATAGCAAAAGAATGGTATACATGTGACTCTGTCTCGTTTGAGACTAAGACTGGTCTGAGAGTCAAACTTATAAAATTTTGTACTCATATTTGTCAGCATTAAATGAATAATGTAGATACCATTTTACTTACTTATCTATTGAGATTCATCAGCAGTACACTATGTCTCTAATTATATGTCGTCTCATAAAAAGGTAGTGGAATAAAGGACCTTATGGAGAAGAAAAATCAAGGCAACATAATATGTAACTGATGGAAAACTTCAGGTGATGTAAGTCTTTCCTCCCAATGAAATTATAGGTGCTCTAAAATCAATACTGGTGTTTCTAAAATTAGATAACAAGTGTAACAAAACATGGCAAAATGTCCTAAGGGAAGAACGATCTGTATTAAATTGACGAACTCGGAGACCAGTCAGCAATGCCATAAACAAAGTTTCTAAAACTTGAAGTGGATTTGAGACCAAATGTACAGGATGGACAGAGTTAAACGTCAGACTAAATTATGTCAGAATGAAATATAATTATGAGTATTACATGTTATCAGTTAATCATATAGAAGCCCTTATTAACATGCGTTTCGTGTTCACTGTTATTCACCAACACAGTGTACCGGACAACTTAAAAAAGTTCATGTTTCTAATGAGATGCAAACATTTGCCACTAAGTTACTGGCTTCACAAAGGAATCTCAGTAAGAACAGTGGCTATGCTGAAAATGGTTGTCATATAGTAAATGACATAGTCGTCTAATCCTAATATGATAATATATATATATATATCTTAGTAAATGGAGACCACTAACAATTTCTTTCCAATAGCACTGGTCGGCTTTCTTAAAAAAACAAAGTAAATAATATTTAAGTACGACTGAATACAGATTGGTTAAACGCTTGAATCTACAAAGTAATGTGAAAGTGACTCCATAACAGAATAAGAAGTTATGTGAATAAATATTTTTCCAAGTGTAATAAACTACTTATTATATCTACTGTTATGAAGTCTAATCTAAAGTACTTGAAATAGGTAATAAGTTCACGTGACTTTAAAATGCTATCATTATTGATTTTAATTTTCAGTTTTAATAGTTTCAATTTAGTATCTATATGGAAACAGTCAAACAAATACTTTTCAGTAGTTGATAAAAATTGTGCATTCATAATAATGGTTCATGTATATCTGGATGTTTATATTATTAGATGGTTGGAGGCAATCATCAGGAAGTCTAGGACCTGGGTTTGGTGCTTGTTGGCGATTGTCAGCAAGGCGTATCTGCAATCATGAGGGAACTCATGTCCCTTCTGGGACTCGAACCTGTGTAACAAGGCGCTGTTGTTTATTTCATCATTATTTCTATAGCACACCTCATTCTGAACGTCTAAAGTTAGAAGGCACTTCCACTAAGCACTTTTCTAAATAAATTCCGAAGGGAGAGTGGGTCACAGTGAGACTGACTGGGTTGGTTTGATTAAGTAGGAAGTGTCATTGTTCATGTTGAGATAGATCTTGCTCAGCAGGCTGTCAATATTGTAATTAGTCAGTTATTCCAGATAAAAATATCGCATTTTTTATGAAATGACCTGAATAACCAGTCTCTAAAGTGCCCAGATTGATATCTACTGACTAAAATATATTTCCTTATATATATATATATATATATATATATATATATATATATATCAAGAGCCTGTTACTTGTACTTAAAAAAGACGTTTGATGATATCTGTTTTCCTTACCCTAACCTAGTGACAAGCTTACAAGCGACTTAATGAGAGTGGCAGATAAGACATTTATTTTTGTTGTAGTTTCTTACTGCATGCGAAGTAAGACTAGGTGACTTCTGAATACTTCCAAATGAAAAGAAAGTGAGTTTCCCTTACAGCAATAATTACAATAGTTGATCACGGATTCATATCAGTTAGAGAACCATCGACAGTACGCACCCACTGAGATTCGAACCCAGGACCTTCCGGTTACAAGACAAGCTCGTATATCATTCAGCCACTGATATCAACCAGTGATCAACTCGTAAAAACATAACTAACCCTTACAAACCAAACTATAGAAAAATTACAATAGTATTTAAAACCTTTGGCTCTGATTCGACTCCTCTGAGGGAGGTATTTCATCTTGGTCAGGACTTTCCATTATGAAAAGTGAATCCTAACTCATTTCACTAAATACAAAACTGTTGAATGATTGTAAAAAGTTTGAGATTGTTATACAAGAAATGTTTACCAATGACCCTAGCAATAAATAGTGCTGTCTAGCGATTAAACAGATATTCACACTTGAAATTATGGACTACACCCAACGTAGAGGATCAGAAGATGGTCCACTACTCGTGAGACTGAAGAGAATGGAGCAGAGCCAACGTTTTTTTTATGGTAGTTGTGCCCTCCTGAATTTTCCCGTTGCTTCTTGTCTATCCTTTTTATTCCTTCTTGAGTTGTTGTGATTTAGTTTCTGTTTTATTTCGTAAGAAGTTAATGAAAGCGTAACGGTAATTTTTGTCATCGGTATCCCTATAAGGTTAGAATATGTTGCTGAAGTGAATCAGTGCACAATAATATGCTCGTTTAACTTGCAAAACAATAATATTTTCAATATCAAGCAAATAGTTATTCACTGTATACCATTTACACGAAGGAATTTTTGGAAATGATATGCACAATCATATTATTCACCTAATATATATACATATATATATATATAGCTGTAAATCCTGAAGTTTTCGAGAAGAATATTCTCCTTTCAGTATTTTTTTCTAAATTAACGTAGAAACCTTCAAACAGCAGCATGTATTTAAGCTGTATGTTCCTTTTGTGAATGATTAGAGTTTCTTGAGCATTTCAGCACTCAAATAACATATATACTCTGCTTACATTTTGAGGCTGTCTGATGTGCATGTAACTAATGTTCTTCTTCGTTTGTTTAAATGAAATTTTAGCCGTCAACTACCAAAAATTCTCCCCGAGTGGGTAGATCTGTTGATCTATGTAGCGAAGTTGAAGAATGGCTACAGTCAAGACCTTCATGGATAGATCGACGACATCAGGTGAGCTGAGTGATTTGTTATAATTTCATAGGTTTATACATGGTTTGGATTGAATCAATAAAATTCTTATTTTTTTATGTTCCTCGCATCAACAAAACTACTAAAATGATTTTATCAATGTATTCTGTTCATGGGTGTATTGATGAATTTCCCTCCTATCATAAAGTTATTTTTGTCGTTACACTATTCTCTTTTCAACTTCACTTCATAAACGTGAGGTAGTATTATGATTCCGTGAACTCTACTAAATTTTATCATACTGACAACAATTTACTGTCTTGGGAGTATGCAGTCGCTGTAATTGTTTTTTCATATGCCATCTATAAAGGCTGATCTATGCCAGTGGTTAACGTTAGTACACACAGACGGCTAGTTAGATATGACCATCTTCTACTTTCAGTCCATTGTTCACTAACAGTGAATCCACAGTTAAGAATCTAAATTTTTTTAAATACTCTCGAAGTTACCAGCTCCCTACAGGGGGATAACGCTATCTAGAATTAAAGCACGCCTTTTTAAGCTCTTCATTTCATAACATCGATGACGCTAATAGAGGCACTTTGATTGCGGAAATTTACTGAGTGTGTAGATCACTCGAATGAATTCTAAGGAAATCGATTAAGTTCATTTTAATTTAACTAAGAACTTCTGAAGTTTCTTTGGGTTTTTGATGACTTTTCAGCTCTTCATCTTACTCTAGGTAACTGTGTTATACAGTTTTATGTGCTTGTCATTAATGAGTTAGAGTAAATTAATTTTCCGATTTCTAATATGAAGCTTTAATTTCTGCAGCCAGCCAAGTGAGCCTTCAGAAAGAATACACATAAAGGATTCTGAATGAGGTTGTACTTCATCTCATTATTAAAGGATGCTTAATACACTCTTCTGAAAAGCTTTTCATTCAAGAGGTTGAGAAATACAAAACAAGGTACAACAAAATTGCAGTTATTACTGCTATTTCCACATGAAATTATACTTGGAAAAATATTAAATTTTAGTTAAAAAAATGCCTAACACTGAATTTCATCATCCTTAAGTAGATTCAGTATAATTTATGTATTGACTGCTGTTGATTACTGGTCACTGTATTATATCGATCGGGGTTTCCTGTTAATTATAATCAAGTAAAATGTATGCGGAATGTGCATGCAGTCGCAGGAACCGCATCAAGAGTTATGAGCAAACTGATAAATACTGCAGCAGAATTGTGACCTCATTACCATATAAATGTGCAATGCATAAAATATTTTCTTCTGAAAAGTGACCTAATATTCAGCTGAGTAACAATGCAAAGAGCGTTACGGAATGTAAACACAGCAAAACAGAAAAACATTCCTTTTTGTAGCACACCTATGAATCGTTGGAACCGGTGTCATAACGTTGAATGACTTTCAAAACCATGCATGAAAAAAGCAGTTATTTTCGCAAAACAGCAGACGTCAATGAGAGGCATGAAGCGAATGATATTTTTGACATGCCTTTGGACAGGAATAAATCTATTTATAGTTTAGGTGCATATAGCAGGTACGCATACAGAGTGAGATTAAAACCTAACGACTTTCTTTACATTTCCATAGTTGTATAAGACTCTAGAGCAGATGGTAATTAATTACTAATTATAATTAATTGTACTGTTCAGTTTACATAACAGACACGTTTGGGTTTATTATTACGCATTGTAAATATGACTAACTTCCAAATGACCTTCAGCTGTGAAAATCATCCAATCACATTCACGATCACTTTGATTGGTTAGTTGGATTATTAATCTGTGGTTATTTATTTCTTCTGATACAAACAACCAGACAGCATATATGAAATCAACTATCTATATTTGTAAATTTTATTTTGTATCTTTAATTTGTAAATAATTGGGATATAATGCAAAATCCTATCTACAATGGGCATTTCTCTCAGATAATAAAGCAAAGAACCTAATTGAAACTAAAAATGGATTATTTAAAAATTTTGTTTTGAAGATGGTTTTCATACTGTATCTATATAACAAACACTCGATGAATCCACTTCCTTCAAAACGCTTTCAATTCTATTTTAAATCTTAGGAGAATAATCTAGCACTACAAATTTGCTTTCTAAACTCTTCCGAACAAAACTTATTCTCTTCAATGGAAGCAATAATTTCTGAGCCTCAGGGGAATACAAAAACAATTCAGACTGAAACGGATGCTGTCACTTTACCTAATAATACAACTTCTGTTGCTACAACAACAGTAACAACAGCTACTACTAATTTCACAGTTATTGATGCTACTAGTACAATGGATTCCGATAGTGATGGTTTAAAGCAAATTGTAATGAACGGTGATTTATCGAAGTCGAAACACACAAACAAGGAGGATATAATGAATACATCAACAACGGGCAGGTCATCACTATTCTTGGCCTTCGAATCATCTGTCAACTTAATTTCCTTGTTAAACGAGGTAAGCTGTGGAGTTGTTCTGGCTACTTTTTTTCACTATCACCTAACGTTGATCTAAGATATCTTTTACTGAAAGAGTAAGCAAAAGTGTAGATTTCAAAGACTTAGATGCATGTAATGACATAAAACACAATAACTTCACTCGCTAAACTCCCAAAAAATCCTAAAAGCAATCATAAAACCACTGATAAATTGTATTCTTCTGTTGCTGTTGCAATTCATTCACATCTCAGTTTTTCATGCTTCTTCTTTTGGCAAATATACGGAGAGGGTTTTAACCTGGTTTTTTTATTCATTACTTCAATGATAAATTGAACGAATACACCGTGTTAAGCATAAACACACATTTTTCGGAACTATTTTCCACTTTATGTGATTACGAGGTTTTATTTTTACACTAGCCCTTCAAGGTGTACTGGATAGAGTCAATAGATTGTTACTTATGTATTCTTCGTTTTATTCTCCGAATTAGTTGTTGGTTTCGACACTACTGAAACACAACCGTGTAGCCAATTTCTCCTCTTGTTGTGCATGCTGCATTAACCTGACATCTATCAAAGAAAACTGTTACTCAGATTTCAGATTACTTGTGTTGTATATAATATAGTTGCGTTAAATTTTGTCACATGATCTTTGTCATGAGTATCAGATGACCTATGGCGTTTGTATACAGGAAGCATCTAGTGATCAGTCAAGTGATTTCAGTCCTTTTAATCAATTTGTTTTTCATCATGCATACATTATCTCTTACTTTGACAGTTTTAATCGTGTGGCTAGAATTATGAGTTTGAGAAATCAATAAGTTTTAAAAATATATATGCAGGTTACTGTGTTAACAGTGACCTTTCAAATGAAACAGATTGTAATTGTCTTTGACTTAAACAAGATCAGTCTCAAAGGAATGCAAAAGGTGTTAATTTACTTCTGCAACGTGACTATGAATGCTGGTAGTCGAAAGAATAAGGTCTTCGCAAATTCTAGACTCCTCATGTTTTCAGATAATAGGTTTTTACACAAGCTTCACAGTAATGAGACCCTCATTATTCAAAAGCTACAGTTGACTAGTTACTAAAGAGTCTGCAACCCATACACGACTTATAGCCAATTCTTGTTCAGTATCACTAGAACGCCAAGTTCATTGTCACCAACTTGTTTCCTTTTCTTCAAAACTAAAGCATATCCAGTAAAGTCATTTGAATATTGTGAAAATAGAACTGATAAGGGCTTCAGTAATCAATAACAGTAATTCATCTGTTTAATATCACATCTAGAAGTGTTTTTTACCGAGGTGAACACAACAGTGATAAACTCAAGATTATACAAATTTTTATTGACTTTTGTCAGTCAGCTGATAGGATCATTTCAATTTCATTTCCATCTTAATTTATGCATTTTTAAATGTAGGTTTTTTTCAGGAAGCAATCTTTGTGGTCGCCACACATGAACACTGACTTCCGACTTATGATTCTTTATTTTTTTCCTTTTCCTTCTTAAAAGTTATGAGATGAATATGATTTTATGTTTCATTTCAGATCGATATGTATTATGAACGCCTGCTTGATCAGTGTAAACATGACTGTTACAACGCACGATCTGTTGTCTATCTACAAGAACTAATACGAAATCATAAACGATTTCAGTCAGAAACTCAAATAGCTGTTGTTCAGGTTAGTTGAGTTATTCATTTATTGAAATCTGTTTGATTAAAAATCTCACTAGTTATGCATGTATTGGTTCGGATTTGATATTCTTCAAATAGTATCAAATGGTGTGCATCAGTTACGCCTTTTAGTAGGCAAAAATAAAAGAAAGTATAACTAAAATATGTTAAACTCATGTGTAACATACATTGCGTTTACACTTATTTCAGGGATTACTTGTAAACTGTTACATGACCACATGAATTAACGTAAACTAAGCAACCACTAAAGAAAAGAGGAATTCATTACTACTGTTTCTTCCTAGCTTGTAGTTATTCTGATCACATGCGGGATCAAACACCATCACTACCAAGTCACGATAGAAACAGTGGCTACAATTCTGAAGAAAGCCATGAAACACTGCTTATTTGTAAATTGACAGGATTCGAAAGCCTTGACCTCTTATGCGTCAACTTGGTTACTGAAAAGTGCCCATATTTGAATACCACCTATACCTCCGAATATAGGGTGGAGTATTGATATAGAACGTTCATTTTTAGCATGCTTTTACACATAAAAAACCTCAATTATTGTGACAAATTCATTTGACCACTGTATATCTGTTAAGTCAGTGCATTAATGTGTTGATCTTTAGTGAAGGTGTAGTCTCTTCAAAAAGTCAGATCAAGTATATTACCAGTTCGCCGCAATCGCTGGCCAGAATTCGGGTGGTTTGGACTGATTCGACTCTTTCGTGTGAGTGAAACAGGGTACATCATTGGTGCACTTGGCCACAAACGAGAGAAATGGCCGTCCATCGCCTGCATCACTATGATCTTGCTAGCAAGCACTACTGATTGATATAAGTGGTATTCAGCTACTCATATCAATCAGTCGGTAGCATCTGGCATTATTCATTATGCTTACTTTCTAGACTGCGATGACTTGTATGAAGCAAATCACACTGGGAGGTGAAGTTTACCACCTACTTTGAAAATTGAGAATTAGCTTAGATTCCAACGAAATAATAATTAAGATTCTGAATGAGAAGAACAGTTCGCGGACGAGATTTTTTTTAGGAAGTTAGAAGGTTAACTACTGACATGGGCACTGTTTTACAGTGTAAAACCGAAATATCTTAGGGATCTAACTTCGTTTATTTCCTACGTCATTTAAAAGGAAGTTTAGAGGACTAAATTTGACTTCACTCTCTTTGAGTTTCTGAAAATTCTAGATTTCTTATAGTATCACATAAGTAGCAATCGATATTGAAATCTCTTGGTTTTCCTTGTGATAAGCAAATGCTCAGAGTGAATTTTCAGTTAAAACCTGGACCAAGGCAAGATTCATTTCAGTAGCCCATAAATAACCGTCGAAGTACTGTCTAAGCTGAAGTAGAAAACTATGCTGTTGGTCTAATTTCAGCGTATATTTTGTCGAGAATGTCAAATGAATAGGTTATGTGTAATGAGTTATTCGTCATCAAATTAACTACCTAACTAGGACTTTTCGCCCAAATTCTTATTGTCATACATTAGTGACAGGAAACAAATGATAAGTTGTGTTTAAAATACAATGAAATACTCTGTCCAGTGAACTTATGAAGAGATTATGGAGATGATGACTAGAGATCAGACGAAAACCTTTATCGAAACAATATGTGAACATGCGATTTTTGAGCCACCTTCCAGAGTTTTGAAGCTGAGACTATCTCATATATTCTCAGCACTCAGCGCATAAGTAAAAGCCTAATAGAAGGCTTTAGACTAAGTGGCTTAAGAACCTTCATACTGGCTATTGACATCAAAACCTCAAGTATTCCATTTTTACTTCTCATGACGTCATCTTGCTTCTCATAATTTGCATTTTTCATCCCTCTCTTGTATTTTACCTAATCGTAATATTAAAAACTTGAAAGAATAGTTTAGTATGCTATATCAAACATACTTGTATTTGTCTGCTGTTGTATTTTTAAGGAGATGCTTCTCATCCATCAAACATGAGAGGTATGAATATAAATACTTAAAAGATTTTTTATTTATATTATGAATAGATTCATTCATTAACCATCTAAGCCGTAATTGGCTAGGTGAAGGACATCAGTTAACCTGTATAGTCCATGAAACGTTGACACAATTTGTTGTCATTTCTGTTTATCAAGTTCGTAGCTCATACAGACAATAGATTCATACCATGCAGGTTCTTTTATTTGTGACTTTTTTACTCTCAGTTTCTTTCAGAACTATCTGATAAACACCTATAAAATCACTGTTCTTTCTTATGCTAACAATGTAGTTGTTTGTATTAAAAGCTTTTTGAGTTACTGTTTCGTCTTTAACGAATTGGGTGTGGTGTCAACAGTATGAATGTCAACAATTGTACACTTTTACCACATTATTGACAAAATTGAATGTGAAAATAATAGAAAAAATGTAAGGGAAAAAAGGCTAAATCATCTGCCTAGCAAAAACTTATATTGAGGTTGGGATAGGCAAAAGTTACGTTGCTTTTCTCATTCATCGATTTTTGTCGGTTGTCATGACAACGTTTTAATTAAACCTAGTGTTTATATAAATGTACATATATATGCGGGTTTTTCGCCTTTTCTGCATATGAGAATACTGAAAAGAGATTGAGAATGACAATATTTGATTTGTACTAACCAATGAATATTTATGTTTTGCTTAAAATTTCAATATAAATGTTTACTTTTCTATCTGTTGGTAAGTAAGGATTTCGCTATTTCACACAACCGATTAAATGCCGCCAATTTTATTGAGTGAAAATTTTGTGGTAGTCATGGGCATTTTATGAACGGCCTCATGAACAACAAAATAATAATTCTTTTTTTGTACGTTTGTGTGACCTATATTATTCACCCTGTCAAACCAGTGTCCAAACAATAATTCGCTTCCGCGGAGTATATGTTCAAAGAAAATCCCGACAGTGCTAAATTAGATAGAATGTGGGCTTTTAAATATTTCTGTAATATATATTGACAGGATTTGGCTACTTGTTGGGGGAGTTTCGTAAAGTCAAATAGTGTTGGTAATATGTGTGATGGCGTAGTTCATCGACTTGTGAGTTAGTTATGAGAGAGATTAACTAAAATTAAATAAATGAAGTTAGTAAACATAAACACTAAGTGTTGTCACACCGAAGAATAAATAACTAAGAAAGTGAAAAACTGCAAAAGGTATCGCATTTTAAAGTAATTTAGTAAACCGAAATAATTTTTTAGTAGTTAGCTTGCAAGTGATAGGTGCCTGTCTGTTTCCTGTCCAAATACCGAATTTCTGAGGGAAGAAGTAATCTTTGATGATGCATTTCAGTTAATTATCCCGATAAGAATAAACTAAAAGTTTGTAAAAGATAAAAATGTAGGAATAAGTAAGCTGTTATTTTCACAGTATAATCATTTATTTAATTTTTTTGATTCTTGACAGGTCCCTAAAATATCTGCAATGCAAGCAGAGGTCGAGAGAATGAAGATTCCGTCGCTTTCTCCGAATGTGGCAAAACTGGTGGGTAATGTCTACATTTTTTTTGGTTAAATCTTTAAATTTCCTAATGACAAAAATGCATTCTTTACATGTTACACTTGCTACTTCATTCCGCTTATTTCTGAACGTTGTTGACATCACATGTACTCACAGTATTTCAGAGCTTTATTTAACACAATAACTTCATATCATGATGGTTTGCAGTGAACATTTTAAGTGGCTTTAGTATCCTTAGACTATAAACAAGGGTCTGAAATGCAAAACTGAAAGGTGATTACAGATTTTCGGTTATAAATATTGATATATGAAATGTGTATCCAATGTACAGCATTGTTATACAACTTTGAGAACTTTTTGAATCCATGATTTAGGGTCTATTCAGTAAGTCGCCTTCATAAGAATAGTGGACTCCATCTTTTTAAGGTAAGTTTGACGACTCCGTTAGTGTGTGACAGCTATTGTTTTTGTCTAAAGAACATTTCATTCAATTTGTAGCAAATATCTGAATACTGATATTTCAGGGATATTTGGTAAAGTTTACGTCAAGCCTAAAACACTTTTTTCAGTTTAGTTTAAACAAGAGTATATACGTTCTTTAATCGATATGCTGTTCTTTCTATAACACCGTTAATATATCTAAATATTACTCTAAATATTCACAAGTCTTACAAGTCCTCCATGTGTTGAATAATTTATTATGTGAATGATATGAATTCACGAACTGCTTTTCATACCAGAAGAAGATGTGATTTCTTGTTATGAAGGTTCTTTTCGTCAAAAGTATAATGCAGAAATTAGAGACTAAATCAAATTTAGTAATAGCTTGTATCCTGAGCATAGAAAAAAGTACTGACTATATAAGGGCAAAATTTATCCGTAAAAACCAACTAAAGAAGTTGCACTATCGAAAGAAAAGAGAATTCATTACAATCTGAATACGCATCAAGCAGTAATAAAATTTCTTCTGCCTTACACAGAGAAGAATAGACTATAGTACAGATGTGTAATGAGTAATTGGTAGATTGCTATGAAAAAAGAACAAATAATTTCTCTGGGTACGCAGATAGTGAAACCACTTTTACAGAGTAGACTATCTTCAATTTTCTATACAGATACATCGAAATTATGACCAGACCTCAGTCGGGAAACAGTTCAGTCTTCAGATTGTCTATATATATTAGATTACCGATGCTAAACTAGCAGCAAGAATAAAGTCTCTTTCAAAACTTTCATATCAATACAATACCACATTTTTTCTGTCTTTGTTCAACAACAGGCGTCATAATTCGTTAAGGAAAAGTCAGACTTTGCATTACTGTTAAGACCTACCTCTCAGATTACTACCTCAAGTAGATATTCAACTTGTGACTCATTTGGATAGTTGTTGTGTCTCACCAATGGAATATATTACCTCAGTTACATATGGAGTACAACTCAGATCAAATGAAATACGTGAAATAAGGAGGCAATATTAAATCACGACAACTGTTGTAATTAATTAGTTTTATGATATATTTCACCACGAAACAGCAACTGAAGTACACACATTCCGATTAATTATGTAAAAGTTCTAAACTTTGATCGGATTTTCTCTGTTTAGTAGCCTCTATCCTATCGAACAAATCACATGAATACAAAAAGGGGGCTGAAGGATAAGTTTGACTTATTTCATTTAGCATGAATTGGCAGTAGTTAGAATCCATGGGCTGGCCACTGGACCGGGTTCCAGTGGCTTAATGGTCTACGAGCTCGCCTTGTAACCAGAAGGTCCTGGGTTTGAACCCCCGTGGGTGCGCAGTGCTGAAGAGTCCCAAACTAGGATGAAATAGCTGTCCAGTACTCCCTGTTGGTTTTCCAGTGGTTCTCTAACCAATGTCAGCTCATGATGAAATCCTCCAACTTATTTCATTTCTCAACTTCCCTACTGATGTCTAAAAAATGAAGTTGACATAAAAGTAGAATTTGGGCACTCAGAGAATAACCACATGATAGAATAATTTTATTGCGTACCTCATGCAAATATTATTACTATTGTTTTATTTCTGTTGACTATTAGAGCACAATTTACGGCTCAGAGTCATATCACTTTACTTGATAATTTTTCCCTCGAGGATCAACCGAAGTTAACACGTTCAAGACCTATATGTTTGTTCAGAAGACAGACTCGAACACTGTGCTCCATGACACCCCGAAGTTTGCTTACAAAGTTTTTCTGTTCCTTATTTTTTGACTTTATTGTTAATAATATTTTCCATATTTCTGACACTGCTGTTGCATAGTTCCCATTGCATGTGTTTGGCGTATATTCAGTTATGTGTGCTCGAAAAGACTCCACAGAATAAATAATACGGTATCATTGCGTACTACAAAAAATAGTGTTATTTTTTTTATGCAGAGTATGTTGTTCTTGTTAGCTTTGTTAAAAAAATCGAACTAATAGGAAATTGTAAAAGATTTCAGCTACTTTAAGGTTTACAATTCAATGGATTTTGTTTTGTTTTGTTTTTTTCATTTTGAACTAAGATTTGAGCCCTAAATGGGCGAATTTCAGTTGGGAATTATTTTTCGCCAATATGCTAAGAAACATTTGTCCCCTGAATGATTTTCTTTACTTTCGAGAAAGACAATATTCAAGGGTTATTTATTATAAATTTGCACGTTGTATTTATTACATATTGATTGTAATATTTTTAACCCATCAGGGAGCATTTAATCCACGCCTAGTTAATCGATATTCGGGTGGGTCTGTTTAGCTGCCCATAGCTTTTATTTTGTTTCACTAGGAAATGTCTTAAATAACTTACCTTTATGCGCCTTACTAACCCTGTGTGTCACGGAGTATAGTGTTCGTGTCTGCCTTCTGAACAAACACATAGGCCTTGGACGTATTGACTTCGGTTGATTTTCGAGGGAAAAATTATCAAGTATGTTGGTTAATTCCGGTGAAATACCTCCGATTATTTACATTAAATGTTCACTGGCACGAATAAAGAATTCTTTTTTATCGTTTCTCATAGTGCCTTTTAACTATTCATTTGGCGTTTTATTAGGCTTATGAGTACGATCCGTGTTCTACTGTGAAAGAAGGCAGACTAAATTATATCTTTATTTGTTGAAATTATTATTTGAATTTCTGGTTGATTGATTTTATAAGGCCACAATGTTCGGTCTCCTTTGACATGTTGGTACTCAGTACAAACGCTTCAACGATGACAGGGAGATTCGCATCTGTAAATACGGAAGATAAGTGGTTTTCTTAAGTGCACTATCACCAAAGATTTCTTCAGATTTCACTTAGGAATTCGACAAATTAATCATCTATGAGAAGTGTAGAAACAGAGTCATGAAATGGCAAATACGAATCTCCCATCTGACCTTACGCGTAGTGACTCGGTCAAATACACCAACTAGACTCTACAGACTTATTCCTGAGCTGAAATTTTCTAGATGCCCTAGTAGTAAAAAAGGTTGGACTATATGAAGCTGCGAAGACTATTAAATTTTGCAAATCAGCGTAGATATTATTCAACTATTTATGTACAAGAAGTGTTCGCAGTATTGTGCAAATTAGGCTATTTATTGTGAAACTGAATTCTCAGAATTTCACAGAGCTCTCAAGCAAAGTAGATTACGGCAAAACAGATAATTATTAAGTTAATTATTCAATAGGAATTACATTAGTGAACTTTAAATTCCACTCTTCGCAATAAACACATGCTAAACATGGAAGCCATTCATTGAATAGAATAACAGTCCATATTCCGGTAACCACCATTTTCAATGCAGTTATTTTTTTAGAATAAAATATGCCATAGACTTTGAAAACTGTTTTAGTGTATTATAGTAATTGGGCAAATGTGTAATATTTTCGTGAGATAGTTATCGTACTCTTGCTAATGAAAGGTGACTCGTTTGATTTCATTAGATTACACGTCATAAAATGCTATCTGAAGAATTTGAAGCTTTTCTGATTGTACTAGATATGAATACAAGATATTGAATTAGTACTTTAAATTGATAACACCAATTCAACCACTTGTAGCCCAGTCAGAAAACATTTTGTTTAAATGTTATCACTAAGTGAAGTAATTCAGCTATATTTGCAACCAATGCACATTGTCTTTCACCGATAAATACTTTGCTGGCTTACCCATAACTTAATGGGACGAAGGTGAAAGAACTATGCAATAACCTATAAACTAGGTAATGGAAGCTGACGAATTCGATTTGAAGAAAACTGTTAATATTTGTGAATGTTAATGGCTGAGTGCGTGTTCTTGATTTTCGAGATACACTAAAAAGCGTATGTAAGATGTAGAAAGATTTTTAACGGATAACCGACTACTGTTGGTGGATCAGGCATGCTTGAAAGGGACTCAAGACCTTATTTAAGTGGCATATATGTACTGTTTTAGTCAACAAATATGAATCTGCAAAATTAATTTCAAAAGGTACATTCTGATGTATTTGTATGACTATCTTCACACAGGTGATATGATTCAGAGTACATTAATTGTTTACTAAAGTAGAGTAATAATTTCCCAAAGGAAGATTGAAGGCAGATCCTTCAGAATTACTTTAAATTTGTAATACGTATGATGAAGACAGTCCTTGGAGTTATAGTAGGTTGTTTAGGAAGTTCCCTCTTTTCGAGTTTTATGAATTCGTTAGCTCCTGTACACTAGGTTGATAATCCGTCACATTCACCACTTAATGGGTATCAACTTCATGATTCTGCTACTTGTCTGTTCAAAGATGAATATCCTTGGACGTTTGTTGGCAGCAGACCATATGACAAATGAATTGTGTTCACAGGGTGGACTTAATTCGTTTATTACAAGTGATCAACACGACTAGTCAATTATTATATTGGGCAATATTTTTAGTAGTTGGCTGTGACCATACTCACTGATTAGCTAGAAAACTGACTGATAGTTTAGGATGTCAGTATTTTTGTCTGCTTCCAAGCTAGGAGCTGGGAGTGCAAAGCAAATTTAGTTGTTTTCGTACACTAGTTTCAA